GTCGGAGCGAATAGAGGAATTGTGGGTTGTGTGTGCGTTACGGTGGCCAATTTACCACTTCAACTTTGTTGATATATCCAAGTTATTTCGTTACTCCCACCGACGCAGCCCCAAACAGTTTCTTTCGAAACTATCAGCCTTTATTCACATGCATATGTATACTTACCATATTATTACAGATTTGCTCATTCTACACATTTGACCTCCACTTATGGTTTAACACATTTAATTTGCACAGTGGTCATGTGTTTCAATTATTTTAAGTGAAGTTCTTTTTTTATTTATTCAGCTTTTGTGGAATAATATTGACCATGTTTTTGCCATTGCAGAGTACGAGGGTCTAGAACTCCCCATTTCTTATTGTTTTTTTTTTTTTAACCATTTTGGTGGCATTTCATTTTTATTTATAAATTTCAATAAGGCCTCTTTTGCATCATCTGGGGGCACTAAGCTGTTTTCTTTTTTTGAAGGCAATGGTGGTACACATGGTGATGAACCTGAGTTGTACTCTGACCCAAGATGCAATACCAGTCTTGTGGATTCCACTGCAAGCTCTCAGCTTGAAGCCTCAGGGCAAGGCTCTGAATGCAAAAGCACCCTTCTTGTTGAGGAGGTAGAGAAAAAAGGAGGTCAGGACCTAAGACCAACTAATATATCGACCTATGAAATAGTAGAGGGTTGGCTACAGTCTATCTGCTCTGCTAATGGCTTGCCATTTCTGTCTCCTGGTGGTCCAGAATCGTTAGACACTGTTCACAATGATACTCTTACATTGCTTAATAGTGTGGAGTCTGCAAGAGCCATGATAGAAGGAAGAGAGTAAAGGAAAAGAGATACAGATTGGTGGAGTAAGACAGGAAAGGTGGAAAATTCTCTCTTTCATTCCTTAATGGTGGGACCTCTTGAAATTTAACCAGGTTCATTGATGTACATGATGGTCTAAACTTGAAATTTGTAGCTGCTACTCTTCAATTCTCCGTCGGTGTCCGGTCTTTTCGTCCAAGTCTTTTCGTCCAAAAGTATTTTTACCTAAGTCTGTTCGTTTACTTGTTAAGTCTTTTCTCGAAGCAAATAAATAACTTTTAGAAGGCTAGATAAGGTTATAGAAAGAACTTGTTGCGAGCCGCCGCCATTTTGGTACCGATATCTTTAGTCACCAATCTTCGTTTACGAATTCAACGTCATGAATTTTACGATATATACACAGAGAATGAATGAAGTTGTAACGCAAAATACTATATTAAATAGTGGCGAAAGTAAAGACTTGCTTGCCGTTTAATTATTTCGCGCGAAAGAAATGGGAATAGTAGGCTTGTTGTTAAGCGTCTATTGAGCGTAAAAGGTCAACGAAGTGTAACGTCACTACGTGAATAGCTCGTAACAAGTTCTTTCTATAGCCTTGTCTAGCCTTCTAAAAGTTATTTATTTGCTTCGAGAAAAGACTTAACAAGTAAACGAACAAACTTAGGTGAAAATACTTTTGGACGAAAAGACTCGGACGAAAAGAATTTTGGACGCAAAGACTTGGACGAAAAGACTTCTGGACGAAAAGACCGTAATTCTACCCTTCAAACATGAGGCAGATTTATACAAAGATCAAATCTTTCTATAATATAGTATAATCGTCTTTATTAAAAACTGGATCATTGGATACTGCAATTCAAGACTTTTTATTGGCTTAGCCATTATGGTATATGAACCAATATACCATAATCTACAAATGTGGTAAGCGTACGCGTCAGCTTAAAATTAAAAGGGAGCTAAAAAATTTGTATAATATAAAGATTTGCTTAATATCTTGGGGGCGTTTTTAATAAAACAATTGTTCCACTAGCGCTTGTTGGATATGAGATGATTATAGCCAACTCGGCGCTACGCGCCTCTTTGGCCATCTATCATCTCATCTCCAACAAGCGCGAGTGGAATAATTGTTTAATAGTTTTTCATTATAGGAATTTTACTGGTCGGTATTTTTGAAATTATTTATGGGGTGGGATTGTCCAGGGGAGAGGAATTTTTGCACGAATAAATTACACTTCATATAAAATCACTGATACATTGATTTGATTCAAACATCTGATTGTTTTTTTTTTTACTTGAAAGATAGCTACATTCCATATTGTCTGTGGTGTTCTCATGTTTCTAAGTTTCACAGTAACCGTAAGTTTAATTATTATGATCATTATTTCATGCATACTAGCACAAGGGGGGAGAAGGAGAGGAGCAGATTTGGAGACGAGATTGGGCAAAGCAAGACTACAAAGTAGAGAAATGGCTAAAGGTTGTCTGCGCTGCTAATGGCGTGTCTTCTGGTGAAGTGACGTCACTTCTGTCTCGTAGTGTCCCCTTAAGTTCAGGTGCAGCTCATGACGATGAACTTTTATTGCTTGAGGGTTTGGAGACTGTAAGAGCAAAATCTTCTTCCAATGGAGAGGTGAGTAATTCTTATTTTCTTTTCTTTTGAATTCTGCGACCAACATTGTCTTTTTGCAGAGCTTAAGACAGGTTTGTTAATACTAATTGTAAATTGTTTGTTTCTGCAGTCTGTAAAATATGGACAGTCTAGTCACTTTTATTTCTCTCATGAGTTTTCATTTGTGTTGTAATTGTCAGAGGTGTGTGTAAGGGGGAAAGGGTGCAGGTAAGGAATCTGCGCCAACATATTGCATTCCATGTAAAGTTTTTTGTGGAGTGCATCAACATTTTCTGTGATGTGTTCTTATTAGAAATCGACTTAAGATTTTGTAGGAAATTTTTAAAGTCTCTGGTTTGACTCACTCTCCTTAATTCATTTGGCTAGTTTGTTGTGCTTTAATACCGTCATCCACAGTAGTTTTGTATGAAAGTGGGNTATTGCAAAAAAGTTTGTCATTTAATTTACAAACACGTTAACCAGTGTGCTAATTATTAGAGAGTAAACAACTGAAAAAGCTTTAAATACGATAATCCCTCTTGGAGAGAAGCATAATTTCGATTTTTTAGCTCGTGAATATAGTAAAGTAGTACATGTCGGACGCGGCACCAAACTTTTTATGTTTGTATTAAAATACTAAGCATACCAAACTCGGACACACCGTCCACGAAAGGCTCTATGTGCTTTTAAATTAATCTCCAAGCGTAGTTACCGAAACCCTTTTGCTAGAGTGGAAATACTCGCGAGACGTAGCCTTATCTATACGACTCACAAGTAGATATCCGGAATCACACGACTGCGGCAAGAGCTTAATGAGCTTTTCGGTTATGGCAACCTGACAAGTAGACTGCTGATCTGGAATGATAGGAAGTATGACCTCGGTATTGGTCATTCTTGCGCTCAGCAACATAAATTGTCATGTGATCACCAATGATAGCAATAATAAGTTGTTCCCTAGGCTGATGTTATCTCTTTACCACCGGTGATAAATAACCGGGCGGAATGGCGATAGGTGTTTATGGCGTAGAATGCAATTACAGGACAAAGCACGCGGATATTGTGTAGAGGCGCTGCCCTATTAAGGGCATTAAATGCATTAGACGCATCAATTAGCAGGACCGCGTCGGTGTCATCTGCTTCGAAGATTCTATGCATAGTGTGTATTGCAGCCTCGCTCCCTGATTTCTGCCCCCCGCGCACAATTGTAACGAGCCACTTGCCTCAACAACGTCCCGCTTGGCTATGATCATGACGCATTTCTCGCACATTCTCCTGATCACTTCTCCGACTCCTATTGGCCTCAAAGCACCCTCTCCCTTATCTAGAGGGATGAGGCGACTCGCTAATAATGGCTCTATGGTCGAAGGATCTATGTAATGAGTACATAGAGTCTTTGCCATTGTAGCTATCGCCTCACACAGCTTAATAATAATAACAATAATAATACTCTTAGAGCGCTGAGTCCACTACTTGCTCAAAGCGCTGTACAACAATGGTTAAACCATATCTACAAAAGCTACTAATTATCATAATGAAATTAACTAAACTACGCTACTTAAAACTAGCCATCATAAGCCAATGTAAATAAGTATGTCTTCAACTGCGTCTTGAACTGGTCAGTAGAGGTAACACTCCTGACTTCAAGAAGCAACTGATTCCATATCCTAGGAGCAACTACAGAAAAAATTCTATCACCATTCGTCTTTAACCTGGATCTAGGCACAGCTAAACGATTTTGAAAACTAGAACGAAGTAAACGTGGACTATTATGGTAGTGTAAAAGTTCAGATAGATAAGTTGGTGCCAAGCCATTAAGGCGCTTGTGCACAAGAGTAATACCTTAAAATGTATGCGATAGCTTTACGGTAGCCAGAGAAGTTTAAACATGATAGGAGTATTATGGTCCTTAAAACTTAAACTTTTGATCTCGTCAACACGAGAAAATCCTTAAAATCCAATCAGCAAAGTAAATAAAAAGCAGACGTAAAAGAGAGAATTACTCCTAACATTAACTTCAGCAATAGCTTGCGCTGTCTCGACGGACAAAGACTCTTTGGGCTACAGTAGACGAGCAAGCTTTCTTTTTGCTCCCTCGGCAGATGACTTCACGAGTGGATGACTAGTGGGGCACAACTCCATTCCGGTTGTAGTATGACCCCATCTAATTCCGTAGAGGGCAACTTCAATGGGGGATTGAAAAAAAAAAACCGTAACTCTTGTGAGTAAGAACATTGAACCTGTCACCTCGGCATAGGACCTTGGAGTCTACCTCGACAATAGTTTGAATCACAATGACCACATCAACAAAATTTCTTCAAGCTGTATCTTCAAGTTAATCATGATTAATCGCATAAAAAACCTGCTTGATAAGAAAACTATCGTACTACTTTACGCTTTTGTCTTTAATAAACTATTCTATCGCTCCATAGTATGAAGTAATAACTCAGAGAAAAACATTTTTGTTCAAAACTTTGCAGCAAGAATTTTCCTCGACCTGAAGAAATACAATCACAACTTTAAAGGACTAAAATCATTAGGATGCCTTGACGTAAACTATAGA